GGAAAAAAATGTCTGCGTTACGCAAAAATTGTGTTAGCTGAAGTAGAAATATGTTGGAGTAGTTCCATTGTTTGCTTACCTTTACAGTGAATGGTTCGGAGGGCGCCACAATAAACGTCAACTATGTGCAGCTATGTTCTCCACCATTCCAGAATAAACAGCACACAAAATGAAAGATGTCATAAAAATCCACAAGAAAAAATAACAACGAAGGAATGAAGCCTTAGCAATTGACGATTTGTTGTTGTTATTCCTATTGACGAAAATAAATGGAATTTTTGTTGTAGTTGGAATCATGTAACAGATTTCGATATCTTTCAGATGCTATTCGATTTATGTATCCCAAGCCAGTCATAAAGTAAATAGATTTCCAAATTGTTATGGATGTTTTTCGTTGAATGGTATACGATTGTATATTCTTATCACAATGGGATACAGGAAGATTGTGATAGTCAGGTCATTAAAAGTTTATGGATGTAATGTCCATAAAAGACGAAGAAATCCACTCAGATAATAGTTGAACAAGGATATCATCCATCATTCTCTCAAATAAGGGACATTGGGGAGAGATAATTTTCAGTTAGGATCATTATTTCTGATATAAGGCCAGTCAGAAGCATTATCATTGCGAAAAGGGACAGTCAAGACCATAATCTCTGAGATAAGGGTCAATCATGACCATTATCTGCGAGAAAAAACCCAGTTAGGACAATTATCTCTGAGATAAGGGTCAGTTAGGACCATTATCTCTAAGATAAGGGTCAATTAGGACCATTATCTCATAGATAAGGGCCAGTCTGGGCCACTATATCTTAGATAAGGGCCACTATCTTTGAGATAAGGGCAAGTCAGAACCAATCATGACCATTTTCTGTGAGATAAGCCCAGTCAGGACCATTACTTTTGAGATAAGGGGCAGTCAGGACCATTATCTCTGAGATAAGGGTGAATCAGGAACATTATTTCTTAGATAAGGGCCAGTCAGGGCCATTATCTCTGAGATATGGGCCATTATCTTTGAGATAAGGGCAAGTCAGGACCCTTGTCTCCGAGATAAGGGCCAGTGAGAACCATTATAACCGATAAAAGGGTCAGTTAAGACCAATACCTCCGAGATAAGGGTCAGTCAAAACCATTATCTCTGAGATAAGAGTCATGCAGGGCCGTTATCTCTATGAGGACCACTTAGTACATTTATCTCGGAGATAAGGACCAGTCAGGACCATTATCTTGGAGATAAGGGTCAGTTAGGACCATTTGTTCTGAGGCAATATTACTAAAGGAACTAAAGGACGGTCGGAATCATTATCTTTCACATAAAACCCTGTCAGAATCGGTTTACAGGTTTCAAATCCCATTGTTATTATTGAACTCCTTCCCCCACTCCACGCACTAACAATCTCAAATAACAAAAAGTAACCCAACATCGATGGTACGATATAAAGTTTTTTCGTATGCCATAAGGGCACCATCAACAGCATGACCGCTATGATCTTCCTCGTCGTCATCATCACCATCATCGTAATTATTAGACATGACAAGAGCGCGCGTCGTCATTATCTAACACCTTTAACTTCTTGAACATTATGTGGCAGTGGTTGGTGTTAAAGACATGATTTTAGTGTCAGGCTTTCTTCCGTTTCCTGTTATGGTGTTAAGTTGTTTTGTTTTGTTTTGCTTCCAGCTCGACACTCGCTATCTCTTCCAACCGCCCCTACACCGCCTTTCCACCACAATTTTATTCTCTTTAGTTTACTCTTCATTAAACTTAAAAGGGTTGTAAATATTTTGTAAGTGGCTGACGCCAGGCCATGTCGACACACGTCTTCTTAAATGATGACATGTCGAGATGAGTGTTTTCGATTACCAACCAACGTCGGTATGAAAAAGTATCGGTTATGGCAGTAGGTAGGCTGAGGGGTAATAAGACGACGGTGATGATGATGACGTTGATGGTTATGGCTGTGGCTAAGAGTTGGCCTCTTTAGATAGTCTTTTTTTTTTTGTTGCGCTTACAAATATAATGAGGTGGTCGAGGGGGCGGAGGCGGAGGCGGAGGCAGTCGGATGGATGTCTTTTTGTGGCTGCTGCTGCTGTTGTTATATTTTTGTTCAATAACCAGAATCTATCTATTGGTAACCACCGCTGCTGATGACGATGAGAAGGAGCCGTTCTGCCAAGTGGCGGGTAATAATTTGTGACAGTTGTAGGAATAGCTGACACGTTTATTTTTATAGAAACACAAAAGAAAAACAATAAACATTTCAGATTTATATGGACGCATACGACGAACTTTCGTACGTACATACGCTCGCCTAGGTCCCATATCTGCTTAAAAGACAACAGCCATCCGATTTATGTGGGCGTTTTGTTGTTGCCAATGTCTTTAATGTGTAATATTTTTTTTTTCAAAAATACAAATTATTTATTTTGTATGGGGAACACTGGGAGAAAAATTTAATGGGAAAATTCAGGAAGATAATTTTTTAAAGGTTCGGATTTTTTCTATAAAAAAAATCCTCAGAAAGTGAGTTCGGATATTTTGCTATAGAAAAAAATACGGATAATTTCGGATAATTTTCTATCGAAAAAATACCTCGGAAACTAATGTCAGTTATTTTTCTACAGAAAAAAATACATCAGAAATTGAGGTCGGATATTTTTCTATAGAAAAAATGCCTCAGAAAAAATATCCGACCTCAGTTTCTATAAAAAATACCTCAGAAAATGGGGTCTGTTTTTTCTATAGAAAAATAATACCTCAGAAACTGAGGTGTGTTTTTTTCTATAGAAAAAAATACTTCAATGAACTGATGTTGCGATGATTTTTTTCTATAGAAAATAATACCTCAGAGAACTGATTTTGTGATGACTTTTTTTCTATAGAAAAAAATACCTCATATTTCTATAGAAAAAAAATACCTAGGATATTTTTCTATAGAAAAAATGCCTCAGAAAAAATATCCGACCTCAGTTTCTATAAAAAATACCTCAGAAACTGGGGTCTGTTTTTTCTATAGAAAAAAATACCTCAGAAACTGGGGTCTGTTTTTTCTATAGAAAAAAATAAATCAGAAACTGAGGTCTGTTTTTTTTCTATAGAAAAAAATACTTCAATGAACTGATGTTGCGATGATTTGTTTTCTATAGAAAAAAATACCTCAGAGAACTGATTTTGTGATGATTTTTTTTTTATAGAAAAAAATAACTCAGTGAACTGAGGTTGCGATGATTTTTTTTTTCTATAAAAAATACCCCAGTAAACTGAGGTTGCGATGATGAAAATACCTCGGTGAACTGAGGTCTGATTTATTTCTATAAAAAGAAATTCCTCAGAGAACTGAGGTCTGATTTTTTTTATAGAAAAAAATCTACATAGAACTGAGGTCTGATTATTTCTATAGAAAAAAATCCTCAGAGAACTGAGGTCAGATTTTTTTCCTCAGTGAACTGAGGTTGCGATGATTTTTTTCCTATAGAAAAAAAAAATACCTCAGTGAACTGAGGTTGCGATTTAAAAATAATCTTTATAGAAAAAAATACTTCAGAGAACTGAGGTCGGACCTCTGTCACTGGCGCTGTTTTTTCAGTGTCTTGTTTTCATTTTTTTTGTCGAAGACCCATCCAAGAACGATGACATCAATGACAATAACAGCAGCGGCATTGTTTTAGCTGTTGCAGAATTTGCCTTGGCACAATATTATAGTTTTTTTCTATCAATTTCTTGTGTTGTTGCTGTTGTTGTTAACAAATCATTGAACAATAATTAATCGGCTATTAATAATTATCTCTGACACAATGATGATGAAGGGGGTAAAAATATGCAAAATCTGAAAACAAATTCCGAGTTAAAAATAGAATATTTAATGGCCTGAAAAGTAGGGTGACAGAGTGGGGAAAGAGGAGGTTAAGAAATAGGAAAACAAAATAGTAAACCATCAAGACTCTTTGAGGACCCATGAAGCTTTCAGTGAGGCTTACCAAATTGTTATTTTTATTTTGGGTAAAAACTGATTTTTTAAATTCCCCTCAACATTGCTGACCCAATTATTTGATAAAACTGGAACACATACATATATACATTACGGTATTAAATATGACCTCAAGTATCTGCAACTTATGTATCTTATATGCGAAGTATGTCATTCATCTCCTGTCAATGCTTGCTGCTTTACGTGCTGATTTTGATACATTTAAAAGGAAAAAACTCCTTGAATCCCTTTTGCATTACTTTTTTCTTCCTTTGGAATAACCCCCTGGAGGCTCTGTCGAACAAATTCCTAAAAACCCATAACATTATGAACGCTTGGAGTACAATTTATGGGATACACTCAGGAGGAAATAACATTCGGTGACAATCACCAAAGAAATGTGGTGGTGCTGAAAGTTTAACGAACTTATTTCAATTACAATACAGGGCTAGCTAGCTGTGCTGCGTATACATACACACATATGCACATACTTGACCCAGCACACACACACACACTACAACAAGTAATCATATACCTACCTACATAACCGGAAAGAAACAAAAAAGGCAGCAATGTTGTATCAACGGCCAAGTGGATATTGGATACAGAATTCGTCAACAGCCCCCAAACCGCCAATAAGTTGCAGAGCCACTAGTGCGGGAAAAATTGTATTACCAAAGCTTTCCGAATATTGAAAGCTTTTCTTTACCTACCTTTTGGGTTTGTGTCTTTGCCATGGACGATTTTTTTCTCAAACGCTTTCCCTTAACTGTTCTATTTTATTTTTGTTTATTATTATTGTTATAATATTGTTTTTTTGTTGTCGTTGTTGTATAACAAATAAAATCTATGGTATAAAACCCGTTACTAAAAACACATACAAAATATCTTAACCTATAATAAAACTATATTTTTGTTGTAGTTGTAGATTCTTATTTTTAAAATATTTAAAAAAATGCTTGGCCTCTTCTTTTTCTTTGGAAATGGAGGCGGAAAGGTGGGTCTTTCTTTTTTTTTTTTTTTTTGAAATTTCAACCATCACATTATTGATCCATTTCGTTCATATCCTCTTCATCCCATTCCCAATCACTGAATTCATTGTCCTGGAAGAAAGGAAAGAAATTAAAATATATTTTTAATATCGAATATAGGATAAATTTGTAAAAAAATATCGTTTCGTAAAAATAGGTTTTTTTATAGAAAAAATCCGACCTCAGTTCTCTGAGGTATTTTTTTCTATAGAAAAAAATCCGACCTCAGTTCTCTGAGGTATTTTTTTCTATAGAAAAAAATCCGACCTCAGTTCTCTGAGGTATTTTTTTCTATAGAAAAAAATCCGACCTCAGTTCTCTGATATATTTTTTTCTATAGAAAAAAAATCAGAGTTTCATACCCTGAACTGTTCGGTTTATTCCATACTTACATAATCATCCAAACTCGATGACTCCACGGGGTATGTACTTGGTGTACATGCCATATATGCCACTCCACTATTATGGCCCGAACATTCACATGTATAATTCTCGGATGGTACCGCACTCTTGGCTACACGTTTAGCAAATATCGTGGCCAATCTCTTAATGGGATATTTACGTTCGGGTTGTAACTTACGGGCACTGAACACCGAACCATTTGTCTCCATGGCCAAGGGAGTGCAAATACCTAAATTACTCTTTGGAATGTAGAGAGCGTGACGAGTGTCGGCATCTCCTTCGGGGAAACGCTTCGAATAGACCAATTCACGATCCATACCGAAGAAGTGTCGCAATTTACGCGTCTTCTCAAATTCAAATTCCGTATCGGCTAGAATGTGAAGATTCACCCCCTCCTCTTGCATAAATTGTAAAATGGAACTGTAATCGAAGAGCATGTTGCCAGCGGCACAATTGCTGCAGGATAGTAGGATAAATGTTTTCGATACTCCCGGGCGGAAGTCGAGACGTGAGGCAACTGAAATGGCCTGCAGGATGTCACTGTTGGTGCCATTATTGGTATTGATGTGATCGAAGTATTGTTCCAACTTCTGATAGTCATGGGTGAACACAGAGTTCTCATAATAAATGCTGCGTGGAGTGTCGAAGGGTGCTTTACCGCCAAAGGTTACCACTGCATAACTGTAGCGAAATAAAATATATAATTTAGAATTGTTTTTCAAAAGACTTCGTAGTTAAGGCCCTTCTTACCGATTATTGTTCAAGCCATTGGCCTGCAGCTGTTCCTCCAGGGTGGAGACCACCGTCATTATGTTTTTGTTTTCCTTGAGATTCTCATTACAAGGTTTAGCCTCTACAATGAAGACCACATCACTGCTGCGTGGTATTTCTGGGGCGGATAACTCCACAAAGGTGCCTTCCGGTACATAGGTGCCATTGGTCAGTTGGCAGCTGTAAGGAAAAAATATATAAAATTAAAGTCGGTTCCTAGAATCGTAGTTTTCCTTGAACTTACTAAATACACTTATCCGGCACCCTCATCGGAATCTTGGCACTGGCACAGGCCTCAATGTAGGCCAAGGCCGCTGTACAAGCACCCTTATTGGCCGGATGACCCTGTTTCACTTCATTCGAATTGCCACCCAAATCCAAACAGATGTCATAGAATGGCTTGGGATCCACAGTATCGGCACAGGCCGACAACATGCCGGACTTAAAGTAATGATCACAAATAGCACCGACTTCAGGCGCCACAATCATCTGAGCTGTGGCAGGTTTCATTTTTTGCTTACAACCATTGACACTCCATGAATCGGTGAATTCACTCAAATCGGTGGTAATATTATTAAACGAAGTGGTGTACTCATCGAAGGGCTCATTGTTCATCGTGCCCAATAGACCGGCTGTTTGTCCAAAGTACCAACCGCTAACCTCGAACCAACACAAATCGAATTGTACATTGCAACTCAAACTGAATTCGGTATCTGAGGTTATTGTGAGGATATCCAAATCGCGGGTTATGGTGACTCCACCCAGTTTCAAGGGCAATAGATATGTGGGATCGCCATTGATGGTTATGCTCTGCAAGACAAAAATCAATTAGATATCGATATCCTATCTTTCACCTTTCTCTCTCTCTACTTACATCAGTACCCAAATCAATTTCGATTAGCTGATCATTGGCAATGAAACTTAGTTTCCGGGTAGATACAACATCGCGACTGCTAACAGTTACCTGTATAGAGGTGACAATAAAGGTGTTAAAGGTCAAAGGTCAAACAAAATGTTAAACGATAAGGTGTCGGGTATTTTTTTTCGATATTTTTCTATCGATTACTTACCGATGGTTCCAACAACAGCGTAAAATTGCCCTGGAAGAAATCATGGCTCAACAAATATGAACACTGCATGTTGCGTTGATTATCCGTCATCTCCTCGAAGCGCAGATTCAAACCGACAAAACGTTGATCGAAGGTCATGTAGTGACGGGAATCGATAAGCAAGGCACGGGCTGAAAAAAAAACAAGAAAATAAAAATAGAACTCTAAGGAAACCAGAAAAGTGATCGGAATATTGAAGTCCGATTTGTTTTTCTATAGAAAAAAATCCTCGAAGAACTGAGGTAACATAGTTTCCTGTGGTGTCGAGGTGCGATATTTTCTTATAGCAAAAAAGGACCTACTTTATTTTCTTTAGAAAAAACAAAATCCTCCAGGAACTGATGTCTGATTTTGTTGTAAAAAACCTCGTCTTTTCCCATAGAAAAATGTCTCAGATAACTAAGGTCCAATTTTTTTAGAGATAAAAAATGTTCCACAGTACTGAGGTCATATTTTTTTTACAGAAAAAATGCGCAGAATACTGATGACCGATTTTTTTTTTAGAGAAAAAAATGTTTTCGGGTACCTCAGAGAACTGAGGACCGATGTTTTCCAGTAGAAAAAAAACTTCAGATTTGTTTCTATAGAAAAAAGTACCTCGGAGAACTGAGGTCGGATTTTTTCTATAGAAAAAAATACCTCAGAGAATTGAGGTCGGATTTTTTTCTATAGAAAAATATACCTCAGAGAACTGAGATAAGATCGAAACTGAGATCGGAAATTCTCAGATAGCAGAAGTCCGATTTTTTTTAAATCCTCAGAGAATTGAGTTCCAATTGTTTTTAAATATTTTCCTGAGGACAATTTTTGTATAGAAAATAACCTTAATGTTCCCAAGACTAATTTTGCTGTAGATTTGGAATTTTTCCTATAGAATAAAGGTAAATTTTTTCCAGTCGATTTAAGTATTTTTTTGTAATTTCAATTTTATATATTTTTTAAAATACTTACAATAATATGGTGGCAACCATGTCTTCGGATCCAAATGTGATTTCAAATTGTAGATATAACGGATAAGCGATGAATTTGTACTGGTCAAGACATTTTGTATCTTCGCCAATACCCTCAACTCCGGTATCTCCTCATAACGTGGCGTTTCATTGAATGCATGCCATGACATTGGCAATTTCTGTTCCAAATCCATCATGCCAGCCTCAGGATCAAATATAAACTTGGTTTTCGCTTCACGATATTTATCGGCTGTTTCCAAGGCATTGTTGGCATAATTTTGCAATTTATTCAATAGCAGGGCATACAATTTGTGTAGACGTGTCTCCAATTCCAATTCCTTGGCAACCCATTCCAATTTCTCCTTAATTTCATTGTATTTCTGAACGACAAAGTCCACTTGTTCGATCTTTTGCAGCTCCTTGATTTCTTCCCAAATTTCTGTCAACACTTCGTTGAGTTCCGTGCCGAATGGTACCAATTTGAAATATTTCTCTTTGAGGAAATTCCAAATAATCACCGAATATTTTCGAATATTTGTTATGGCATCATGGGATTTGATGTCACGATATAGACGATCCACATCTTGGGTAAAACTGGATACCTTATTGAAATACGGGGACTCAGCCAATTCATTTGTTCGTTTGTAAATGAAATCGAAAAGCTCCTTGCTTAGATCCCACAAAGCGGATTCAATTTGACTTATGAATTTGAAGACATGTGGTTCGATACGCTTGAATACACCCTTCCAGTAATTGGTGAGATTGGCCCAGGCCTTTGACCACAAATTCTCCACATATTTAATAAACGAAATATGCAGATCCTTGACAAAGCGATCATATTTGTGTACGCCCTGTTCCAATAGCTCGGATACATATTGTAAACCTTCACCACGGAAGAAACGTCCCACGTGAATCAAGAACTCATTGTAGGACCTCTTTATGTTCTCAATCATCCTTTTGATACTTTCACGTAAAGCTTTACCAGATTCACCCATCGATTGCCAGATTTCCGAGAATATCTTTGGCAACGACTCAATGTGATCCTTAATGGCCAATTCATCGAGTATGGCCAAAAGGAAGCTGATAACATCCTTAATATAGAAATCATTGGCCTCATACGATTCATTGATGAAATTCCTCAGTTCGGTGATGTCATCTTCCAATTCGGACAACTCCCGCAGATCATCAAAGAAGGCATTATTATAACGCTTAGCCGTATCCCACATGATGTCAATGGAATCCACAGCCTCTGTGTAGATGGCCTTAATCCAAAAATCTAAACCATCCGAGAAGGAACTGTAAATGCCCGAACTAACTGTGAATATTTTCTCTTTCAATTCCTCCTTGACTTGTGGACGCCAATGGAAGCGCCCGGTTACCAAACGCGAATGATTCATTTTCAAATAGGAAGTGACATCGATTATGCGAATTTCTTCATAGTTACGCCAAATATCCAAATAGGCGCTGCGAGAATCGGGTATAGTGCCAACCATTTGCAAATTTTGACTATCATCTTCGGTTAAATTGACTTCGGCTCGTAGATATTTGTTTAGCAGATCAATGTAAATATAGCCGGTGTTATTAGTTTCGGGAGTATCCCACACGGAGGCATTCAAACCATAAATGGGATAATTAATGTAGGGTTTACCATACAGGCGTACGCTACGTGATGGAGTTACACGCTGGGGGATAAATCAAAAAGCATTTGTTAATGAAAATAATACATAAATAAGAAGATAAAATATTAATTATAACAGAATAACTGTAAATTACATTAAAGATATCAAAAACATATTATGAAAAGTCAAGTTTTTTTCTTATAGGGCCTAAACATCGTATCAAATAAATGAAGGGTTGTAAATTTGAATATAAAAAGGTAGTAAGCTTAAATTTTGGACAATTTCTGAAATCTAGCTTCTTTTTCCGATACTCCACAAAATAGTTTAAAACTTCTTCAGTTTTCGTTTGTCCGTAAAAATCTACTATTGCCTCCATGCTTACTATTGATCCACATTTCAAACAGTTCTATATTGGTAAATTCAGGCGTAATTCCAGTTTGTTGTTTCACAAAAACAAATATTTATTAGAGGGGAAATATAGCATTGTTCACCTAGTGGTAGTCATTTGTGCTTTGTTAGGGATATTTATAGTTCCTTTAGAAAAAAACCTTCTATACCCAAATGTCGCTTGTAACAAATCAAGTATTTAACTAACCAACGAGTCCACTTAGTTGAGAATTTCGTTTGACACTTTTCAAAATTTCCTAAAAATTAAAAATAAATGAAAAAATGCACACATGTCCGAAGTCGGAAAAAAAAATATTTAAAAACCAGTAAGCGGAGAAGTATAGTCGGACGGGGCCGACCATACGATACCCTACACAACTAGCATGGAGTTCTAACTTTCTGCGGATGTTTATTTCGAGCCTGGGAAATATTTCGTGATATTTGCACCCTCTTCCCCGATTAGAGGTCAACAGAACCTCTTCCTTACACTGACATATTTTCCGAATATTACTAATATTTAGTACAGCCTTTCTAATTACTTGTACAGATTTCCTTCGCCGTGGGTTGTATGGTGATGTTCGGCTTATAATTGTGGCCTATAGATCGAATGGAAAAATCGATCCCAAAATTATTATCTGATCATCACCGAAAATTATAAGCGGTGTCCTTGACCATAACTGGAACCTGATGGAAAATTTCAAAGAGATCACAGTGCTATATTTCCGCCCTCTGGTGTGGTAATAGGTTACTAACTAATATATGAATACGCAAGCACCTGTAAATATTTAAGTGTAACTCCCACATACGAGCACGTTCGAAAATATAATTGGTATCGATGTTTTAACAATTTAAAACAGGCGTCCTTATTCTTTGGCCCGATCCCCTTCTCCTTGTAAAATTTCGCGATGTTCAGGCCATCATTACGGCCTCTGGAGCGACCAGAAAAACCGACAAAAATTAAGTAATCGGTCCATATCATCCCCTAAATATCAACCGATCTGCACCAAAAACAATAGGGGTCTTCATTGGCCAGAACCCATCCTTGATGCAAAATTTCGTGAAGATTGTTCCATAACTGTGGCCTGTATCGTCTTTACAAATAATAATGGACAGATGGACGGACGGGCACACATGTCTAGATCGACTCAGCTAGTCGAGATGTTACGATCGGTATACTTAAAGGTGGTTCTAGGTCCACTATTTGAGGTAGCCCCCATATAATGGTACATACCACCCTAATTTAGTTTTTAGCACACATCATTGTCGAACTAATTCAGTACCCTATGTCAACTTTCGTGCAAATTGAATGATATATACGGACTTTGGTGCAGCTTTTACATAAAATCGGACAAAACTATATATGGCAGCTATATCTAAATTTGAACCGATTTTCACGAAACTTAGCACGCATCATTCTGGACCTAATTCAGTACCATATGCCAAATTTCGTGCAAATCGAAAGATATATAGGGACTTTTGTACACAATTTACCTTAAATCGGACGAAGATATATGGGAGCTATATCTAAATCTTAACCGATGTTCACGAAACTTTGCAAACTTCATTCTATGCTTAATTCAGTACGCTATGCCAAATTTCGTGCAAATCGAAAGGTATATAGGGACTTCGGTACACTATTTACCTAAAATCGGACGAAAATATATATGGGAGCTATATCTAAATCTGAACCGATTTTCACAAAACTTTGCACACATCATTCTAGGCTTTATTTATTACGCTAGGCTTTATTACGTGCTGCTTAGCACGCATCATTCTGGACCTAATTCAGTACCATATGCCAAATTTCGTGCAAATCGAAAGATATATAGGGACTTTTGTACACAATTTACCTTAAATCGGACGAAGATATATGGGAGCTATATCTAAATCTTAACCGATGTTCACGAAACTTTGCAAACTTCATTCTATGCTTAATTCAGTACGCTATGCCAAATTTCGTGCAAATCGAAAGGTATATAGGGACTTCGGTACACTATTTACCTAAAATCGGACGAAAATATATATGGGAGCTATATCTAAATCTGAACCGATTTTCACAAAACTTTGCACACATCATTCTAGGCTTTATTTATTACGCTAGGCTTTATTACGTGCTGCTTAGCACGCATCATTCTGGACCTAATTCAGTACCAAATGCCAAATTTCGTGCAAATCGAAAGATATATAGGGACTTTTGTACACAATTTACCTTAAATCGGACGAAGATATATGGGAGCTATATCTAAATCTTAACCGATGTTCACGAAACTTTGCAAACTTCATTCTATGCTTAATTCAGTACGCTATGCCAAATTTCGTGCAAATCGAAAGGTATATAGGGACTTCGGTACACTATTTACCTAAAATCGGACGAAAATATATATGGGAGCTATATCTAAATCTGAACCGATTTTCACAAAACTTTGCACACATCATTCTAGGCTTTATTTATTACGCTAGGCTTTATTACGTGCTGCTTAGCACGCATCATTCTGGACCTAATTCAGTACCATATGCCAAATTTCGTGCAAATCGAAAGATATATAGGGACTTTTGTACACAATTTACCTTAAATCGGACGAAGATATATGGGAGCTATATCTAAATCTTAACCGATGTTCACGAAACTTTGCAAACTTCATTCTATGCTTAATTCAGTACGCTATGCCAAATTTCGTGCAAATCGAAAGGTATATAGGGACTTCGGTACACTATTTACCTAAAATCGGACGAAAATATATATGGGAGCTATATCTAAATCTGAACCGATTTTCACAAAACTTTGCACACATCATTCTAGGCTTTATTTATTACGCTAGGCTTTATTACGTGCTGCTTAGCACGCATCATTCTGGACCTAATTCAGTACCATATGCCAAATTTCGTGCAAATCGAAAGATATATAGGGACTTTTGTACACAATTTACCTTAAATCGGACGAAGATATATGGGAGCTATATCTAAATCTTAACCGATGTTCACGAAACTTTGCAAACTTCATTCTATGCTTAATTCAGTACGCTATGCCAAATTTCGTGCAAATCGAAAGGTATATAGGGACTTCGGTACACTATTTACCTAAAATCGGACGAAAATATATATGGGAGCTATATCTAAATCTGAACCGATTTTCACAAAACTTTGCACACATCATTCTAGGCTTTATTTATTACGCTAGGCTTTATTACGTGCTGCTTAGCACGCATCATTCTGGACCTAATTCAGTACCATATGCCAAATTTCGTGCAAATCGAAAGATATATAGGGACTTTTGTACACAATTTACCTTAAATCGGACGAAGATATATGGGAGCTATATCTAAATCTTAACCGATGTTCACGAAACTTTGCAAACTTCATTCTATGCTTAATTCAGTACGCTATGCCAAATTTCGTGCAAATCGAAAGGTATATAGGGACTTCGGTACACTATTTACCTAAAATCGGACGAAAATATATATGGGAGCTATATCTAAATCTGAACCGATTTTCACAAAACTTTGCACACATCATTCTAGGCTTTATTTATTACGCTAGGCTTTATTACGTGCTGCTTAGCACGCATCATTCTGGACCTAATTCAGTACCATATGCCAAATTTCGTGCAAATCGAAAGATATATAGGGACTTTTGTACACAATTTACCTTAAATCGGACGAAGATATATGGGAGCTATATCTAAATCTTAACCGATGTTCACGAAACTTTGCAAACTTCATTCTATGCTTAATTCAGTACGCTATGCCAAATTTCGTGCAAATCGAAAGGTATATAGGGACTTCGGTACACTATTTACCTAAAATCGGACGAAAATATATATGGGAGCTATATCTAAATCTGAACCGATTTTCACAAAACTTTGCACACATCATTCTAGGCTTTATTTATTACGCTAGGCTTTATTACGTGCTGCTTAGCACGCATCATTCTGGACTTAATTCAGTACCATATGCCAAATTTCGTGCAAATCGAAAGATATATAGGGACTTTTGTACACAATTTACCTTAAATCGGACGAAGATATATGGGAGCTATATCTAAATCTTAACCGATGTTCACGAAACTTTGCAAACTTCATTCTATGCTTAATTCAGTACGCTATGCCAAATTTCGTGCAAATCGAATGATATATAGGGACTTTGGTACACCATATACTTTAAATCGGACGAAAATATAAATGGGAGCTATATCTAAATCTGAACCGATTTTTCCCAATTTTAATAGGGTTCGTCCTTGGCCGAAATAAGTGGCCTGTGCCAAATTTCATCCAATTCGGATCATAAATGCGACCTGTACTGTGTTTAAAATTTAACATCGACAGACAGACGGACGGACATGCATAAGTCGAGTCAGAAAGTGATTCTTCGCATATTCTCAAAAGGAACCATTTGTCTATCTCGTTTCCTTTTGCCTGTTACAAACATATGCACAAAGACATAATACCCTGTACCACAGTGTGGTGAAGGGTATAAAAATGCGTTTTGATTTAAAACAAGTTTCTTCATCGTTTTTCTTTACGCTTATAGTTTTGCCAGAGGCTCAAAAATAAAATTTAAATGTTATTTTAAAATATCTATTAATAAATAAATATAATATTTCTTAAAAACCTATTTATTATTCGGACAATGGCTCCAAAATGGCAAAAAAAAAAAACACGCCTAAAGTTCGGATAGATGCAACAAAATCGAATTTAATCCTAATGAACAATCAACACGTTAGCCTCATACATATTATATATCCCTAAAATATGGACTGTTGTTCCTATAAAGAACTAACCTTCCGATGTTTGATGTTTGTGTTTGAGGTTTTATAAAGAATGAGTTTTTTTAATCCAAACTTCAGTAAGTATTTAATTGCTTTTAACCCTCACATTTACGTTGAGAAATTTTCTTAAAAACTCTCTTTTATATTTCTAAAAAAAATTGTTTATAAAAATGTTAGAAACTCGGCTCTTCTAGTTCAAAAAATAAAAAAAATATTCCAAATTAAAATTCTTCGTCTTCAAAAAAAAAAAAAAAATTAAATGTCCTCCCCTTTTCTCCTATTTTTTTTAAGTCATTGCTACTATTTGCCTATTAAAATATTCATTAAAATCCGATCCTTCTAGCACCTTTAATAAATTCAAGATTCCAACCAACTCTATCAACATCTAAATATTTGAAAATTGTTAATAGCACAATCCATGCGTATTTCTCTTTAAAAAAATTAGGCCTTACATCCAATTATTTTTGAAACACCGACGCTTCTTATCCTTAATTAAAAATAGTAAAAAAATCAAAATATTCTCTTCTACTTCTAAAAATATATATAAAACCTTCAGCCTTCTAGTTCTTTGAAAATTATTTCTTCTGAAAACTACAATCCTATCTCCAAATTTTTTTTTTTGTAATTTCACAATTTTAGCTCCTTCTACAAATACTTTACACAAAATATTCTTTGACATATCTGTGCTTCTGGCTCATATAAAAATACTCTTTGAATATTTCTAAATTTTAGCTCCTTGCAAACTTTTTTGATCCACCTCCTTCGTCCTTGACAATTATTTTATTTTTGAACTAATTCTAGATTTTTTAATTCACTCTTCTATCTCTATTTTGAAAATATGTTCTATATAAATTTGATGTTTTTGGCCCTAATATTTTTTATTTAAAAACTAAACGAAAATTCGAGCTGTTGTTGTTTTATAGTGAAGTGAGCCGAAAAGCAAATGAAGGATACAATTTATTTTTTTTTAAATAAAAACAAAAAATTAAAAATAAAAATTTTAAATCAAAAATAAAAATAAAATAAAAAAATTAAAAAAAGCTCAACACCCCCCGCATTTTTTTCTCAGTTCTCCAAGATGTATTCACCCTAAAAAAAGTAAAACAAATACAATGTTTTTTTATTTTTAAAATTTTATTTTTATTTTTTAATATTAAAAAAGATCTGTTTTAAAAAAATTAAGTTGTTTGTTATCATTATTGTTATGTTATGTGATCGAAGAGGTCATCGCCATAATCCATCTATGAATTTCATTTATGTTATTTTGAAAATTATTTGTCTGGATTTCCAGTCTATCCGGATTTGAAGCTGTTAAATGTTCTATTTTTTTCATTAAGGCAATGCATTTGCAGAGATGATAATTTTTATGCTGTTGTTGTTAAAAATTTGACCCCATTGATTAGAAAGTTTTTGTTTGCCTCAGCATTATTGTTATTGCCTTTTCCTGATAACCTTGAAATCTCAAGGGCTTTATTATTGCAGCAAGTTCAAGGTTTTTATTATATTTTTTTAATATTCACCACCACAATGCATTTCATAATTTTCCTCTGATAAGCTGAAGTGTATAAAAGTGAGGTTCGATTTCACATTTTCAGTAGACATGAAGTGAGCTTCGTCGTAGACACTTGTCGGGTGTGATGCCAGCGGAGAATTTATTTCACTTGCGGTACATTGTAATTTTTTGTGGATTGAAATATTTGCTTTGCTAGGCCAGGATTTGCCTTGTTTTAAAAATGTATTTTCAATCATTCCTTTGGCATTTTATTTCCTTGGTTGCATCTCTTTGTGTTTACACCTCCTTGTAGTCTTAGAGAGCTTCGGGATATCAATTTCGTGTACTTATTTTTTTTAATTATAGGGCTATTAAAAATTTATCCATGTCTGGGCTATGGGAAATAGAAAAATATACAACCTAAACCTATAATTCTTCCTCCACCTCCTTCTTCTTTTTTGAGAGTGATTTCATTTTCGAGATTGAGAAATATTTGTTTTTTTTTTTATTTTCATTCGGGGGATGTTGACTATTCTAATTTTTATAATTAAATTCTCTCTTTTTTAATTTTTTGTTTGTTTTTATTATTAAAAAATAAATGTATATTATTAATTAATTTGTATAGTTATATTCAAATTTTACGTTTTTTTTTTTAATTTTTTTTTTTTTTTGTTAAACAATTTGTCATTATTTTTGTTTTGTTCGCAAATTTTAGATTTAGATTTTCGATCTCTTCATTTTGTTTTCGCTCGTTAATTCGTTTTTTTGTTTTGTTTTACAACACTTCAGACTTCAAAACTCGAACGTTCTATTATATTTAAAGTTGCGTATTCTAGCTAAGATACTTACAATATACTCAAATTCTTTGTCATCGAGATTGAGCAGAGCCAACAACTGGCCACTCTTTTCGGTGAAATATTGTTTCTTATAGCTGGCCGTGGCCTCGGTCTTGTAGTGAGCCGGTTTGGCAGCCATCGAGCCATTGAATTGCAAATCAATGTCGGAGGCTTCATGGTTGGCATACACCTGCAGGGTGTAGTTGGCATGACCCAATTCCTTTTGCAAGTCCTTGATCAGGGCACCCATTTTAATGGCATGGGCCTCATCATTGGCATAGTCAATGACGAGATTGGTATTCAAGAGCTCAACAACACCGCGATAGTATTTACCCTTAATGGTGATGTCCTTTTCGAGGTAGGGATGGCCAATGGTGAACACCACAGTTTGATGGTCCAAATCAACACCCTCGGTCAATGGTTGTTTCTTCCAGTCGAGACCGGTGCGTACCGATTTCATGTCATCGTCCAAATAGTTGTTCCACTTGAAGACGGCATCGGAGACAAGGTGGTCGTCGGTAACGGTGTAGGTACCCTCGGTGGCCAAGTTGCGTTTGGGATAGGAGAGACCCACAACATAGGCATGAGAAACCACACCATCCTAAAAACGAAAACAAAAATAAAACAATTATTATTTTCCATTTCTTCACATCTTTCCCCCTGTTCGTCCTTCCCTCCTCCTCTCTCAACTTACCGTAGTCTTATTGGTCAATTCCAAATTGTAGGCCAACCAGGCATCTTCGGACAATTCCAAACGGCTGCTACCCTTAATCTTATTGGGTTCACTCTTGTCATAGCTGCTGGTCCATACCACAGTGCGGTTGGGATGGCTGGCCACCAATTTAACATCATGACCATTGGGTTTGGTAACATGGGTCAATTCTCCGGACAACTTGAAATTGGCAGCATTCTTCAGTTCATATACCTCCAAACGTTTAACATCGACCAATTCCTCAGGTTTACCCTTATCCTGCTTGTTCACATATTTAATACCCAAAGGTTTCATTTCATTTTCCAAGGTGATATCACGTGTAACAGTGGTCACGGAACCCTTAGTATCCTTAACCGATTTGTAGACACCATTCAACACTTGCTTATCATTATATTTGGCCTTAACAAAACCATTGTCATTGCCGTTCTTTTCACGCAAGTTATATTCGATTTCGGCACGATGACGGCTTAGCAAGGGAACTTCGATTTCAATGTTACCCTTGGCCTCCGATTGACCAGCCTTTTCATTGAAAGTACTCTGGGATTTGAAGAAAGCCTTATCGTTGGGCCAGCTAGCCTGGGCATGGCGGGTGGTTTTGGGTCTAAAGAGGAGGATTTTTTATTAGGAGCTGTTCCGGAAATTTATTTTTTATTTTTTTTGCTACTTACCCCTTGGTATTGAAATCAAATTCAGTCTTCAACCATGACATGGTGGGCAATGGAGTGGAGGCATTGATATAACCGTGCATATTGCTCAAATCTCTGAAGGCCATGTTCAAATCAGCCAATTGGTTGGAGGCGGGACTAGCCATGGAGGCACTGAAAAGAATAGAAAACAAACAAATAATTGTAAGGCCACCAAAAACTATAGATTCAGGGTCTGCAGAACATTTTAAGGAAAAAAATACAAATTTTTATGATCGAAGAATTTTTCATGCAGAATAAAATATTTCTCCAGGGCCTTGAAAAAGTCTTCAGACCCTAAGAAACTTTTCAATAGGAAGAAAATAGTCTTATACACCTAGATCTGGAAAAATCATATCTTCCACCTTGGTTCTTTTTTGTATAGGAAAATATAGAAAAAAAATAATCCTGCCTATATCAGGATATTTTTCGTTATGGGTGTAGGATTCCATGGTATTTTTATAAAAGAACAAATTCATCCTTAGTAGCAGACATTTTTTCTAAAGGAGTCTTATTTGTTAAAAAGTCTTTGCTCAGGATTCTTCCTTTTAAAAAAACGTTCCTCAGGGCCTGAGGATTTTTTTTTTGTCATTTTTTCTCTAGAAAAATTTCAATCCTACCCCTGATGACCCGCTACACAATTTCTAATAAAGAAATATACATCTTCTACTTACATAACATTATGGAATTTATCAGCCAAATCATAGCTACCCTTCACCAAGAAAGTATCCTCATCCTTGTATTTGGGTGTCACCAATTTCGTATAGAATTCACGGCGTACCTTGTTCTTTCTCAACATATGGAAATCACCTTCAACGACGGAAACATCCTTCTTCTCTCCCCATTCCAAATGAGCTAAAGCTTGCAAATCGGTAGCATTCTTGTACGATACACGACCCAAACAATTCTTCTGAGCATCCTTCGATTTGTATTTGCCTTCAATGAAGAATTCCGGTTTGACACCCTTCTTGGCAATCAAATTACCGCGATAACGGAAGTTCAGATTGTGAGTATCACCAACTGGTTTAGGCAAGGAGGTAACCAAAGCAGCTTGAATATCATCTTGAGAACGATAATTCAAGGTACCGTTAGCTTCCAATTTCCATTGTGAATCGACGTCCATTTTCACAGCGGTCGACAATTTCTGGAAGTCCTTCTTGGGATTCAAATACTTGGCACTGGCATAGACATTGCGGGCCTTAGTGTTGGGACGTTGCAAATGCGATTCCAAAGCCAATTGCATGTTTTCAGCCAAAATCCAGGTCCATGAGCAGCTACCGCGACCGACATTTTCGCCAATGCGATATTCACCAGCCACCTTACCGCCATCCTTCTTCAGGTTCAAGTCGGAGTGCAATTTCACATTTTCAATACCGAATTCCTTCCAGGGGGTTTCCAAGGCAACATCACCAACGGTGTGGCCCTTGCCGCGTGGGCGGAATTGACCATTGAAGTTGATGCGTTTCAATTCGGGCACGGAGGACTCAACCAACATGGAGAAGTCAACTCCGGCTTCATCGCTAGCCGAGTAACCACCAGAAATCTGGCACATCTTACCCTCTTGGATGGCACTGAATTGGAAGTTGTAGCCCTTGCTATTGCCTTGAGGTTCGGAAACGCTGAATTCGATGACACCATCAGGGCCACCAGCAGCAGGTTGGACACGTAGACGGGTATCGGCAGGATAGCCATTGGCCATCTTGATAATACCATTGAGACCGTAGGTGTGGGTGTTGCGGTACAATTTACCACTGACACTGTATTCGTTGGGATTGTTGGGCGATTGGGTCAGGGAGCCGTGCATGGAGATGTTACGGAAGTCCTCAATGGGAGTCCAGACCTCAACATCGATGGCATCGCTCTTCTTGCTGGCACGGGTGCCATAGTCGACACGTTCACCATTGCGTCCAACGACAGTCAAATCGAAGCTCAATTCAGGGTTGGGTTGGGTGAGAACCTTCAAGGAGGTTTCGGCCAATTTCAAGGGCAACATGGTGGTTGAAATGTGACCCTTCACATCAACCAAGTGGGCGGGGTCCTTGTGCCAGGCAGTGCCAACCTTGATTTCGTTGACGACATCGTTGTCGGTGACCGACAATTGGAAGTCGACGGTGTTGTCCTTATCGTTGAAGTCGTTCTTGAAGTAGGCACGGCAGGCGTAGTAGGGTACAACATCGGTGTTCAAGATGAAGTCCACCGAGGATTCGGTGAAGTTCTCTTCGATCTCCAAAGCAGCAGCCAAGGTAACAAAAGTGCTGGGTGTACGTGAGGTAATATTACCGCGATAGACATTCTCCTCCAATTGCAGTTTACCGGTTACGCTCATTTCCGACAAGACAATCAAAGGAGTCTTGATGACAATTTCGACACTGTGTTCGTTGGGCTTAACGGAATCCGTCAATTTCTTGTATTCAACTTGTAGGGAGGTGATCTTAGGTTCGGCAGTGCTGTCACGCAACACGAATTTAACATTCTCAGAGAAAGTGAAGGTGTTCAAGTCCACGCTGTATTGGATAATGGATTTGAATTCGCGTACCGATTCGAAGGGAGTGTTCACGGTGAAGACATTCAAGGCGTTAACGTAGTCGGGATAGTATAGACGATCCTTGAAATCAATTCTGCCCTCAGGCCATTGGACATGACCAACAACCAAATAGAAGTCCAAAACCTCTTGGATATCAACACCACCGTGGATGCTGTCAAAGACAACGGGATCGATTTCGAAGTTAACGGTGTACGACATGAATTCATTGTAGTCGACTTGGCTGGGATCGTAATCGCGAGGATCAACACCGGTTGGGCGGAAATCGTCATCGTACAACACCTCCAATTGGACCTTGTTGCCGCCCAATTGTTTCAACAATTTCGACTTGGGATGACCGTTAATCTTGACACCACCCTTGTGTTGGGCCAGGCGACCGTGCAATTCCAAAACGAATTCATCCTTGGCAACGAATTTGGCGACAAAGCCGCTCTCTTCGAAACCGGCCAAGGGTGTGTAGACGGTGTAAGAGTATTCGAAGTCGGTAACGCTGTCCATGCGCCAGACACCAGTGAAGCCCAAGGTGGCGTTGTTGTAGGTACCGCGTACATCAACAGTTGTGGGCTTAACCTTGGCAACGACGGCGGCCTGCTTGAAGTTCTCAATGGGGGTAGCAACGCTCAATTTGACATCGAAGTCCATGAGCGAAACGAAGTCAGCCAAAATCTCAACACCCAAGGCACCATCAGGGGAGCGAACTTCAGCAACAACGTGGCGTTGTTTCTCGTTCAAACCGAAGCGGGCTTCCAAGTTGCGGTATTTCTCCAAGGGGGTGGTGATGTAGATGGTCAACTTGCTGTCGGCCAACTTGCGAATGTAGCCATCAACGTTGAAGGTGAATTGGCGGTTTTCAAAGTCCAGAGTGGCGGCACCCTTAATGTCGTGCTTGTCGCTCAGGCTCAATTGGGCAGCCAAACCACCCTTGCGGTATCCTTCGAAGGGTGTCACAATCAAGACGGTACCGGAAATGTTATCGGTGGGACCGCTCTTGGTTACCTCCCACACGGATTTGATGCTGTATTCGTTGAGTTCGACGGGGCCGGAGTAGATCAGCGAGACCAAGGTATCGTACTTCTTCTTGTCTTGGTAGTGGCTCAATTTAACACTGGCCTCAGGAATGCCCTTGACGGTACTGTTAACGCCGACCAAGAAGTCAACGCTAATGACGGGACCTTGCATTTTGTGATCAGCCTTGAAGGTAAGGTCGAGCTCTTGGTTGTCGGCCCACAGCAAAGTGGAGTTGGCCAACCACAAGTTATCGCTGCTGTAGAGACCGGCCTTCAAACTGTTGCGACGCCAGCCTTGGAATGGAGTGTTGAGTTCAGCATGGACCCAGTTGTTGATTTCCTTGCCGGGCATCAGACCAACGTTGTAGCTGAAAGTGATCAAATCATTGGTGCTCCAGCTAAGACGGGCCGAACCATGGTATTCTGGGCCACCGGTAAAGGCTTCGAAGCCAGCACTGATGGTGCGATCGGGATAGGTGATCATGACATTGCCATCATAACGATCATTGCCGGGGTTGTTGAATTCGACCAACAAGGCCAAACGTTGGGCAGGATCACGGTTGGCATCCCATTTCAATTCGAAGTTCAGTTCCTTACGTTTGTCCAAATCGACGACATTGGCCTTGATGTGGATATCACGCAATTTGTCCAAATGGATTTCAACTTGCAAAGACTTGGGTTGTTCCGACAGCTTGGCAATGGCCCAGTATTCCTTATCCTTGAGTTTCAAACGCAACTCACCGTTGCTGTTCTTGTTGGCAGCATTCTCGTTGTATTGCACGGTCAGGGCGTAGGGATCCTTGTCGTATTTCGATTGGACATCGAAGGAGAATAGCTGTTGGTTGCGGCGATATACCACGTTGATAGTGGTTGGCTTGAAGGAAGGACTCTCCACAATGATCTTCATGTTGTGCAAGCTTTGGACACGAGAGCTCTTGTCCTTGTAGTTACCCTTGACGGAAACGGAGTGACCAGTGAACCAGGAACCGCTAAGATTGACTTGGTAGTTCTTGGCGGGGGCTTCGGTCAACTTCAAGCGGGCAGTGCAGGAATCGAATTCGGGTACGGTAATGTTGAAGTAGGCATCGACAGCGAAGAGGTTGCGTCTGGGCAAGTGGATGGAGAACAAACCGGTGGCTTCCTTTTCGGGGGCGTAACGTAGACCCAAAACAACATTGTGTTCGGTACCGTTCTTGGTGCGTTCTTCGTGTCTGCAAGAAGAAAAACAAATTATGTTAAAAAATCAATCAATCTCTCTCCTTTGTCTCTCTTTCCTGTCATACTTACTTGAATGAAATCTTGTAGTCCATCTTGGATTTGGGTACCTTAATTTCAAAACTGGCTCTGGTGTGGGAACCCTCAGCAGCCTGATCTTCATTGTAGTTGCGTGCGAAGATCAAACGCAAGGTGCTAGCCTGTTTGGTGTCCAAGAATTTGGGACCGGTGTTGAAGGTCAGTTTACCCTCAGTGTGTCCTTGCAAGCTGAGCCAGGTGGCATCACCGATAAAGTTCAATTTAGGATAGGCCGAGGAGGTCAATTTAGCATTACCTTGATATTCGGTCTTGGACTTATCGCCAGTATTCTGCAATTTGGCTTCGAAGTTAATGGTCTCAACCTTGTTCGATTGGAAGCGATAGTTAATGGACAAATTGGTGGAGGTGGTCACCTCATTTTGGACATATTCGCCCTTAACGACAGCCTGCAATTTCTTGGTCTCGAAGGACAGCTCAAAGCCATTCTGGGAGATGCCATTCTTTTCGTTCACACGAATGCTGCCAATCAAACCGGTGACATTGACGCCATTGATGGCCAACAACATCTTGGGTTTGTACATTAGGGTGGTGCGATCTTGCCAGCGGACAAGTTGGACATTGAGGTCGAAGTTCCTCTTGCCATTGGTGTCCATGTACACATCCAAACGACGATCGTTGGGTTGATTTTGGTAATTGCAGCCGGCAGCAACTTCGGAGCGTCCGCTTACCATCGACAAGGTGGCTTTGAAGTTGTCACGTTGGCTGACGACCTTGGTAAGAGCTTCACGTTTGACCGAAGAGCCTGGAGTGTGGAATTTGAGGGACCACACAGAATCATCCTTGGTCTTCTTTTCGAATTTGTAGTCGAAGACATATTTGTGGGCAGAAGGATCGGATTTCTTCAATTTAACATTGAATTCCATGGGACCGCTGAGCAAAAGACCAGGGTAAACCTTGTCTTCACCGCCGGCGGTGACATCGGGTACACTGAAGTCAGAGCACAATTGCAAACCGATAGCCTTCTCCAAAACAGGCCAGGTGCAGGTGTTGTTGGAGCGACGGTGTTCAATACCCTTTTGGGGTACTTCCTTGTCCTTGTAGAGGACCAAGAGTTCAGAGCGGGCACTGAAGATTTCGTTGGTTTCTTGTGGCAAATCGAAGGTGAAGGACACATCGTTCTTGCCACGGATCTTCAAGCTGACTTCAATTTCGGAGTTGGAGTAGACGTTGCTCTTGACCTTGATACCGGTGCCGGCATAGAAGAAGTCAGATTGCATGGAGGTAATGACATCGACGGACACGGAAGGCTTGAACTTGCCATTGACATCGTAGTTCAGTTCTTCTTCAGCTCCCAACTTTTCGAAGTTGCCGAACATGCGCATATCGACGGAGGAGGCACCATAGGCATGGATGGCCAAAGGCAAACCGACAGCCAAGGGGACATTGTAGGAGGTATCGAGGAATACACGGCTCTTGCTGAAGGTAACCTCTTGGCCACTCAACAATTTGGAGATGTGGTCAATGGGATCGAAGTCCTTGAAACGGTCGAACAATTCCATAGCTTCTTCCATAGAGTAATAACGGACGTCATTGCCGAAGATTCTCAAGCCGATTTGGGCACTTTGTTTGCCGTGGTTGTTGTCGGTTTGGTAGCCGATATCCTTAACCTGCTTGCGGACTTGTTGTTTACGGTTGCGGGCAGGTGGGGCAGCACGACGGGGTCTGTACAATTCCTCTTCGAAGTTGTAGTTGTCTTCTTCAACCTCTTCGACCAAATGATCTTGGGTAGATTCAACATCACGCTTGAAACGGAAGTTATCCAAGTTCAAGTAGTTGTTGAGGGCACCAGCACCTTCGGGATTCTCGGGGTTGACCATGTTGGTGAGGAAAGCCAATTTCTCGCCGAAGAATTCGGCATTGAAGGGACCTTGGGCACCGAACAAACCAGAAATGGCCTGTTCGAAGCCTTCAGCACGGGCAGAGATTTCAAAGAAGTTGACAGATTGGCCGAACAATTCGGTAGTGAAGTTCCAGTTGGCCATGCGTGGCAAATAGGAGTCAGTTCCGAAGATGACATTCAAATCGGTGGTGGCACCTACATTGTATTCATCGAAGAACACGGAGAAATCGTAGTTGCGGGAGAACTTGCGAATGTCCATTTTGAATTTGTCGGGGAGGTCATCGGCTTGCAAGAGACCTTGGACTTCAATGCGGGTGGGTGAGGAGGACTTGGCCAAATTCTTGAGGTGGGAGTAGACGAAAGAGCCGACTTGGTTGACTTCTTCGCGTTGCAAAATTTGCTTGATGCGACCCACAGATTGGTAGTCAGGGCAGCGCATAGCCTGCAAATAGGCAAGGGTTCTGACTTCGGAGTTCAAATTGTATTTGGCGTAGATGTCCAAGAAGAATTGACGGTATTTCATGCAGTCGACACGACGGAAGGCCAAAACGGATTCCAAACGCAATTCCAAGTTATTGGATTCGGTGCTGATGATGTCCTGGAGTTGAGCGGCAAAGCTGTCCGAGATGACACCAATGTTACCCAAACCCTTCAAGATGACAACCATACGTTCACGGTTACGTCTCTCACCCTTGAACATGTTGTACAAGCTCAAGAATTCGGTTTCCAAGAGGTTGACAATGCGCTTGATTTTGTTGTTTTGGCCACAGTTTTCATGGTGTTTGCAGTAGTTGTGGACAACGGCGGAGGCACCCAAGGTGTATTCAGCGTTGGCCTTCTTGCGGGAGAATTCCAAAATGGTGAAGAAGGTGTCCAAGGTGGTCTCATCGGGTCTTTGGATGAACGACATGGAAGTCATCCAGCTGCGGGCAATTTTCTCATCGAATTTATCGTCAACGATTTGATCGCGCATCACCTGGTAGGAGGCGGTGCTGCCAATGTAGGGCAAGGATTCCAAAACGTGGTTTCTAAGGGAAGGGTAGAATTGTGGAAATTATTTGTGGATTCTGTTATGAGATTTGAGGTTTATACAACTTACCTTCCATTGGCACAAATGCTGCCGGAACGTTGCAACAATTGATTCAAGGCTTTGTAGTCCAAGTGTTTGGTTGTCTGCAAGAACTTGGTGAAGACATCAATGAATTCACGTTGGATTTTTGGGGAACCGGCGGCACACATTTGCTTCAAGAGTTCACGAGAGGCCTTGATTTCACCATGGGTGGGTTTAACCGAGGGAGTGTGATCGAAGGTGAGTGGGGAACGTTTCTTGATGTCCTTGGCATCTGTGAGGAGGACAGAAAGGAAGAGATATTATAATCTCAGACCAAAGTTCTAGTTACAGGGTTACTTACTTTGATCCAAGAATTCACCGGGGCTATAGTTTTGTTCTCCCTTGAAGACCAAGCTATAGTGAACAGTGGTGACGGCACCAGATTGTTTCTTCGAGAAGGGGATCAATTGATGACGTTCAAAGCAGTTGATTTCACGGTAGATGTGGTTATCAATGGTCAGCTGTAATGAAGGAAAATTGAGGTTAAATCAGGGCCAATTTAGAGTATAAAAGTTCTACTTACATTACAATAACTTTGAGTATCCAAAACAGGGAAGACACTATTGTCACCACCACTGAAGGTGTATGGAACAGTTTGCAAGAACGAGTGGGTGGAGAAACGGCTGTGGCAGCTACGAATATCCTTTTCCTTGCGAATGGTAACAAAGGCATTATCGGTTGAAGCCAAAGTATATTGAACACCACAGGTACCGGAAACATCAGTTTCGGTGGTATTGAAATCAACATCAAAACGCAACATGGTATTTTGAAAAGCGGACAAGATACCCTTCTTGAAGTTCAATACCCAAGCAGGTTCAGTTTGATCGGGACAAACTTCATTGATGAGACCATCATGGAAATCAAAACGTAAAACGTTCTTGGTGAGATCTTGCTGCAAGGCAGGGGTCTTGGCATGTTCACCGGCACCATTTTTGTCATCCGACAAATGGGCCGAGGTAATGCGCAAGAAACCTTCACATGGCTTGGGGAACAGGAGCTCAACATCAGCCTTAACCGTTAAATCGGAGGTATCGTCACCGGTGCCGGCAAATTCAGTGGTCACCTGGGCATTGTATTCGTATTTGTAGATATTGTCGCTGTAGCCGAATTTATTGTTTTGATTATCACACTGGGGACGACCACAGACTTTGGGATTCTTGAGGGGGTCTGTAACGAAAAAAAAAATATTTTTGTTTTTGGTAAGGGATTTCCGTGTTAAAATTTCGAGGGCTAGGAAACTTACTTTGTCTGGCAGCCGAGGCTGTTGAGATTACTAGTACTAACAATAGGAAGCTGGCGCTTCTTAGCGCTTTGAGCTTCATGTTGCTAAAATTTGGTTTGGTCGAATTGGCTTTTCTTCTTTGTTTCACAATTTTAAAATTGTAATTCCATTAGATGAATGGGGAGGTAAGCTGTAAGGAAAAAAACGAGATAAGAGGTTAGTGGGTGTGCGAAAAAAATATTGGCTATGAAATTTTGAAACAAGGAAATGGCTTTCGAAAATAAAATTTCAAAGGATATTAATTGTCACAGATCAATGGAGATATTGTCGATATGTTCGTATAACCTTTGGATCCAGAAATTTAACCTATGAAATATAATCTACTTCCCACATATGTCATCAAATCTACGGAAGTGCGACCTAAGGTATCATCTACACACCTTGTGCGGATGCCTAAAAATATTTTTTAAAAAAATCCACGCCCTGTGCGGATGCCTAAAAATATTTTTTAAAAAATCCACGCCTTGTACGGATGCCTAAAAATATTTTTTAAAAAATCCACGCCTTGTACGGATGCCTAAAAATATTTTTTAAAAAATCCACGCCTTGTGCGGATGCCTAAAAATATTTTATAAAAAATCCACGCCTTGTGAGGATGCCTAAAAATATTTTTTAAAAAATCCATGCCTTGTGCTGATGCCTAAAAATATTTTTTAAAAAATCCAAGCCTTGTGCAGATGCCTAAAAATATTTTTTAAAAAATCCAAGCCTTGTGCAGATGCCTAAAAATATTTTTTAAAAAAATCCACGCCCTTTGCGGATGCCTAAAAATATTTTTTAAAAAATCCACGCCTTGTGCGGATGCCTAAAAATATTTTTTAAAAATCCACGCCTTGTGCGGATGCCTAAAAATATTTTTTAAAAAATCCACGCCTTGTGAGGATGCCTAAAAATGTTTTTTAAAAAATCCATGCCTTGTGCGGATGCCTAAAAATATTTTTTAAAAAATCCATGCCTTGTGCGGATGCCTAAAAATATTTTTTAAAAAATCCAAGCCTTGTGCGGATGCCTAAAAATATTTTTTAAAAAATCCACGCCTTGTGCGGATACCTAAAAAATATTTTTTAAAAAATCCACGCCTTGTACGGATGCCTAAAAATATTTTTTAAAAAATCCACGCCTTGTGCGGATGCCTAAAAATATTTTTTAAAAAATCCACGCCTTGTACGGATGCCTAAAAATATTTTTTAAAAAATCCACGCCTTGTGTGGATCCTTAAAAATATTTAAAACAAACATATTTTCGAAAATATTTCGAAGTCCGGAGAATTTTTTCTTATAAAAAATCGAAAGTGAATTTTTGAAAAATGTCCCCCACTGTGCCATAAATATTCCCATTTAGTGGTTGATGTTTGTTGCAGATGCCAAAATCACAATCGGATTTTTTTCCGGTAATGCATTTGCGTTCAATTTAATTTTTTTGCTGTCAATTTTTTTTTCTGACAAATAATAAAAAAGTAATATGTTTTAAATTCATTCTCTAAAACAATTCAAATACAAATATCCTGTCAGAAGCACACACGCACACACACATGGTATTAACACTTAAGCTGTTCTTGTGTGTGTGCGTGTGCGAGTGAGTGTGAATTTTATCCTGTGGATAATACTTTAATTTTTTCCTATGTTTCGGCGAGGATTTTAATTGAAAATTTTGTTGGTCAGCCATATAAAAAAGCTATCTAAGGCAGTGGAAGAAGGGGTAGCAGGAATAGCAGGATTTTTTGGGTTTTATGGGCAAATTGTTTTTTGTAATTGCCTTTGACTGGCAGTGTGGTGTGTGTTTGTGTGGGCAAACGATTTCATTTTGCACATTCACTGAATCACTTTTTAATGCCTTTTGATCTTTTTTACACCACGACCAACAACAACAACATTCACTGGCTCTGTCAGTCACACACTCACTCGCTCGTTCGTTCGTTCGTTCACTCACTAATCGAATAGTACTCTACTTAGTGGGTTTAAATGTTTTCAGTTCAGTGTTTGTTTGCTTTTGTTGTTTTTTTTTTTTTTGTAACACAGAGATTTAGTGCAAGGACACATTCGTCCTTTGGATCCTTTAAAATTACACAACAAGCACACACACTCATACATCCCACTCGATGCATTCACACTCTCTCAATGCTTTGTGATTTCCTTTCCATTCTGTTTCATGTTTTCAATTTTTTTGGTTCTCCTCTTTTATAGGAAAAAGGTTAAAAAGGATTTGTGTTAAACACAAATGCTGATTCCGTTAATATCATTGCATAAAGAAGTCCTTTTTCACAAAAACACACACACACACTCTTCAACAATTCTTGCACTTTGGTGTCAAGGGGTCACATTAAAAATTTCCATTTGATTTGAATTGGATTTTTTATTTGAATTTTATTTTCTTAGAGTTTTTATTATTATTTTTTTTTCATTGAGTTTTTTTTCCTTTGAAATACAAAGGACCAAACACCGTTCAATATAGCCATATCCTGTTTCATATCACACACACACACACTCTCTCGCCATACGTACTATTTGAAGTCCTTTCACTTTTCTTCGGAATTTATTAATTTTTTTGCTACTGCTCCAAATCCAAACGAAATTGTCCTTTCCAGAAAAAAACGGACCTTTCACGGACCTTGGCGTTTAGCAACTGAACCTCTAGACTTTCTATTTGAGCTATTTAATAGCAAAGACTTTGCAGTGAAATTGAACTGATAATTCCAGGGGAAATTAACAGCGGCAAACAAGAACAACAACACGGGGCAAATCTATAATCGGAACTTAGAGATTATGTCCTCTGTGTCTGTGATTGTCTTCAAATAGAATTAATCTCACACATACAAACACACAACTACATATGTTTGTGAGTGTGCCTGTGTTCACTTTCACAGTCTGGAGGTTAAACAATTTGTCCATTAAGCAAAAAACAAATGAAAATAGGAAAAAAGACTCAGCAAACATCCACAGTAAAGCAAATATACAGTAGAACAAGCAGATGATGATGAAGAAGTAGATGTACAAGTCCCTGATTAGCCCTGTCAGCTATATTCCATTCCAGTAGTCACAGCTCAGCACCGCTCAGCTCAATTGAAAAACTCACTGAAATGTTGTGTTATCAGTGACTTTTCATATGCAGTCACCGTTTCTTATCGTTTTGGGTGAAAGCAGTCAAACGGTGACCGGCTATGCGAGTGAGTGTGTTCGTGTGTGTGTGTTTGAGTTTGTTTGTCCAGCATTGGCCAGCTAGCCTGTCAACTAGCAAAGCAACAGTCCACATTCAACAGAGAGTATCCCCCAATCAGTCAAAAACGTTTACGTTGCTTTTGTGTTGTGCTGTTCAACATCTAAGCGTAGCGATTATGAAATGGACGTTAGTTTATTTAGGAGCAGTTATTAGATAACTGCTGCACATATGTCACACACAGATACATACACACAGAGACATTCACTAAGAGATAAATACATATATAGCTAGAGAGATTAGTTGTTGTGATAATCGTAAATAAAGATTGAAATAATCCCAGTTTATTTGTTTGGGATCGATTGAAGAAGAGTTGATACAAAAAAGGGTTCGCTGAGTTTCGTGTCTCCTTTGGGAATCACAAATATTTACTTAATTTGCGACTCCAAAATCAATGATTGGGATATTTGTTCTGTTAGATCTAAAGGCACAATCTCAAAGAAATTGATTGATTAATATTTGTATTAAGTGCAAATAGTTGATAAAATTAAGAAAAATGGGCTTAATAAAAACCAGTATCTTGATAACACCAGCACAACAAAATTTTCGTTTTGGAAAGAAGCAATCGGCCAACCAGACAGCTATGAAATAATTTCTTTTCCTTCTATGAGAAGACCCATTTGCCATATGTGAGTAGGACTCTTTATCTTGGATATCAGGGTCTTCTTCAAGAAGTCCGTTTGCCTTTCTACGTGAAATCGTTCTCTATGTGAGATATGTATTTTGGACTTCTAAGTCCTAATTCCCTATTTCCCCCAACAGAAGACTACATGATCTTCTATGAGAAATCTCATAGTCTTCTGTGGGAAGACCACTTAATCTTTTATGAAAAGACTTTGAAATCCTTCAGAAGACTTCAACATTTTCATAAGAAGACCTCATGGTCACAACAATACCTCTATTTTGTGGGAAAGCATCAATGTATTCTAGAAAAAGAAAATAATGAAAACTTCTCAAAGATAAACAAGAGGTACATTTTTCTATGAAAAGCCTTCACGATCTTATACGAGTATGTGAAGATGTGTTGTGCTTCTAAGAGAAGTAATCAATATCCCCTTTGCGAAGACCACATGACCTTCTGTGAGAAGATCCTATAGTCCTCTACTCCTATGAAAATATTTCATAAATTTCTTTCAGAAGACTTCATGGACTTTCTCAATAAGACCTCATGGTATCGGGTCCTCATTGAAAAGACCCCATTGAAAAATAACCCATTGTCAGAATACTTTATGGTCTTCCTGAAAAGACTTCATAGTCTTCTTTGAGAATACCTCATTGTCTTCTTTAAGAAGACCTTATGGTATTCTAAGAGAAGAACTCATGGTCTTCTAAGAGAAGAAGTCATGGTCTTCTTAAGAGAAGAAATCATGGTCTTCTAAGAGAAGAAATCATGGTCTTCTAAAGAAGATTTCATGGTCATCTTTGAGAAGGCCTCGTGGTCTTCTACGGGAAGACCTCATGGAGTGGTTTGGAAAAACCTTATGGTCTTCTATGAGAAGACCTCATGGCCTTCTATGAGAAGACCTCATGGCCTTCTATGAGAAGACCTCATGGTCTTCTATGAGAAGACCTCATGATCTTCTATGAGAATACCTCATGGTCTACTATGAAAATACCTCACGGTCTTCCATGAGAATCTGGAAAAATGATCTTCAATGAGAAGAACTCATGGCCTTCTTTGAGAAGACCAGCTCTTCTATGGTAAGAAGACCTTCGGCTCTTTTATGGCGAAGAACTTCAGCTTATCTATGGAAGGAAGACCTTCAGCTCATCTATGGCGAAGAAGTCCTTCAGCTCTTCTATGGCAAAGAAGACCTTCAGCTCTTCTATGG